GTTCGCTTATACAATAAAGTCCCAAGCAATATCCAAGAGTTAGCCATAAATAAATTTAAAGGTATTATAAAAAAATCACTTATTAAAAAAGCTTATTACAAAGTGTCTGATTATATTACAGACAAAAATGCTTGGATTTGAACTGTTCCAATCGTTCCAACAGGTTTTCTATATTAAATAAATCATAATTGTATTGACGTTGTAACAACATAATGATTTGTAAATGTTGTTACATTAGACTTTTAATGTTGTGGAGCTTTTTCGCTCGTTTGTCTCCGCAGCTAAAAAATATGTCCATAACGAGTGGTAGGGAAAAAAACTTTTTGGACGATTCAAAAGAGTTGTACTATACATCCAATTTGAATAAAGATATATTGATTTCTGATTTCTGATTTCATATAAGTATGTATATTCTATTTTATTAATATAATATATTTATATTGAGCAATTTAACTATGGCTTGAGTATAGGCATTATCACTAGATTGCAAAACATTTTTACAACTCTTGCCAGCATTATCAATGTGTAAAATAATATTTGTAAATAACTGTCATGTATTCGTATGTGTGGTACGAACATTAATGGTAACGATCTCTCCACAATAAACTAACATGAATCCATATTTATCGTCTTCAAACAAATAGTTCGAGATATCAATGCACTGAGTTATTACGGTCAACTTCTTTGTAAGCAACATTTGATAGTAATTATTATGTAGTTTACTTAAACATGTTTTGTTCACACACCAGCAATTACATTATTAGATCTAATTACATATATTACTTAAAGGTGAATTAGTAAATGGGTAAGGTATACGATATGTGTTAATATTTTATATCATACATATGTTATTATCTGATTTTAATAAGTGAAAGTTAACAATAGTATTTGATAGAATTTAAGTTAGCATAGTTTACAAATATCATCATCATCATCAGCCTATTAATGTCCCCACTGCTGGGGCACAAGCCTTCCCTATGGATGGAATAGGGAGATTGGTCCATGACCCACCACGCGGGCCCAGTGCGGATTGGTGGGTGCTAACGACTGCAGATGCAACCGGGACCAACGGCTAACGTGCCTTCCGAAGCACGGAGGAGCTCGAGATAGTAAATTTTTGGTCACCCATTCAATGACCGTCCATTGCGAAAGTGGCTTAACTTCAACTATCGCAGCTGAACGCGCTAACCACTTGCGCCATCGAGCTCCTCTTAAGTTTACAAATATAAATACATAAAATCTTTTTTTAACATATGGATTACAAAAGCTTTGGGAACAGTACCTATCTTGTAAATTTTAAATATTATTAAAAAAATCAGTTGTGAAAAAATTTGGGTCTACGCTGACTCCGTTCCTTCTATGTTCAGAAAGCAACAAAAACATATTGTTTGCCACGTGTTGTGCGTTAAACGCCGGCTGAATGCCGAGGGAAGGGTCCGGGGTTCGAATCCGCACTCCCAGGTCGGACCTAAAAGGATGCTTAGGTAAAAGATTTCTTAAGGATTCATTCATTAGGTTTTCGTTGAATGGCAACCATTGACAATTTGAAATGGTAAACATAGAACTAATTAATTAAAGTGTTGAAGACAACAGCCATTTTTGTATGAATACTTTTGTTAACTAATATTCAAAAAATTCTGTCCATTTGGAGTCGTAATGTTGTTTGTTAGGAAGGAAGAAAAGATTTTTTTTGTAACAACATGTGTATGAAAGATGTTAAGTTTAAAGTTTGATATGAAATATATTTGAATGAAATGAAAAAATACAGAACGTTTTCTAATCATCATCATCATCATCAGCCTATTAATGCCCCCACTGCTGGGGCACAGGCCTTACCTATGGATGGAATAGGGAGATTGGGCTTTGACCCACTACGCGGGCCCTGTGCGGATTGGTGGGTGCTAACGACTGCAGATGCAGCCGGGACCAACGGCTTAACGTGCCTTACATTTGGGTACGTTATAATCATTTGGGTACTATTATTGTTTGATGATCATTTAAAACATCGTCGTTTGATATTAAGTACACAATATGTCGTGGCAGTATCGACACACAAATTAATTAATTAAATAATAAAAACAGTTTAATATGCAATAACAAAACATGCCAAATTACTTTTAATGCAATAACCTAAGCTCCACTTTAAATTTGACGCCAATTTTTTTTTTTTTTTATGTTATAGGGGGCATACGAGCAGACGGCTCACCTGATGGTAAGTGATCACCGTCGCCCATGGACACTTGCAACACCAGGAGTATCACAAATGCGATGCCGGCCTTTAAGGAAGGAGTACGCTCTTTTTTTGAAGGTTTTTTGGTCGTATCGGTCCGGAAACACTGCTGGCCTATATACCTATGAATTAATCAAATTATACCAAAAAGGAGACGCTTAGGTAATCTAATTTATAATTAGGAAAAGGATAATATCTGTTTAATTATTAAGAGTAATACAGCTATAACAAAAACATAAAAAAAAAATCATAGGTAAGACAAAAAAGTTTTACTAATATTGTGAATGTGAAAATTTGTATGTTTGTTACTGGATCACGCAAAAACTACAGAACGGATTTTGTTGAAATTTGGTACTCATTTAGTTTATGACCTGGACATAGTATTAATTTTATCCCGCAAAAGTGTAAGGTACCCCTGCAATTCTCAAAAAGCGCGGACGAATTCGCGGGCGGCTAATAGTCTATACTAATACCATAAAGAGGAAAGTTTTGATTGTTTGTTCGTTTATATTAAATAGGCTCCGAAACTACTAGACCAATTTAAAAGATATTTCACTTTTAAAATCCTACATTATCCCTCCCACACGACAACGGCTAACTAGAGCCGAGGTCCGAGTCTCAGAGACGCCCTCTAGTTGAGCCGACCCCCTCAGGTTCGAGTGGTCTGGAGGCTCCAGGCGGAGAGGAGACTCCCCCCGTGGGGAGACACCATCCGCCTGGAATACCTCTAGAGGCACTCGCCAATTCTCTGCTTGAGGTCCCCTTAGGATCTCGCCGTCCCCAAACCCGATGACGCTGTAAAGATCATCTGCGACCAACAGCATACACACTCAAAAAAAATATCTCTGATGAGCAGAGGCTATAGAGTATTTTCAAAAAGGCTAGGGTTCCGTATGAAAACACCGATAATCACATCGTCACTCACATCGCATACGCTGCGAAAGTCAAAGTCAATAGAGCAAAGTGATAATAAATAGAAAAATATCTACGAAAAAGTCCGCGTTACCAAACATTGGGGGGGAAAAAATAACAGCAGAGCAATGGTGCATTCGGTACAACGGCTGCAAAACTAAGCAATAAAATGTTCACTATTAGTTTCATAAATATTCATGGAAGGTTTATAATTACATTAAGAAAGTCATGTGTATAATACAAGCCTCAGAACAAAAACTATAGTTTACACTACAGGTCTATACCGAAACGAAGAGAAGAAGCGAAGCGAGGGCAGCCCACTAGTTCCTAAGAAATCATTACTTATATCGGGTACTAGATTCAATTAATTATTTTTTTATGAAAGTAATTTGACAGAGCGTGTGGTTCCATACAATAGTATCCTAAAAAAACATGGCGATTCCTAATTATGAATCCATTTATGGAAATGAGCAAAATTTTTAAATTTATTTCATAAACTGAGTAACTACCAATTGTAGTATGTGCAGAAGAAAAACAGCTTATATTTATTTTAATAATGATATATTTGTTTCTTAGGTTGTCACGCACATCACTCATTAAATAAAACTAGTTTTAACGGGTTAATGCACGAAACTTTTCAGGTCTGCTTCGTCTGATGGCTTATTCTGACGAAGAAGACCTGAAAAGGCTGCAAAACGTCAATAAATAAATAAAGTTTCGTGCATTAACCCGTAAAAACTAGTTTTATTTAATAATGATATATTAAAATTTTATTGTTTTTCCAATTGAGAATATAGGTTACTTTAAAATAACTATTTATTAATTATCAAACAATGATATTACATATTATACAACAAATTTAACTTTATTATAAGATACTATGAGATTTGTACATATAATCTTTATAAAAATCTTTTGGTCACTAGTTTTAAAACAATTATCTTACATTTTAATGTCAACATTGAAATGAAAAAAAGCGAACAACAAATAAAATAGACAAGCAGAAACAAATAGCCAAAAATAAAGAAATGGTCTTAATAAACAAATTATATGTAGTTGTTTCCAATTCAAATAAACATGTGTATTTTAACATTATATTAAAGCTGTCGAGACTGAAAGCTGAAGGTAACCATTTATATAACTGGTTTAACCTTCTGAAACATCATGTTATTCCACAGATTCCTGTAAATAGCCAAACAGAATTTGGCAGCTGCTATAAATAAGCGGTTTGTTATTTTAACACCTTATTCTTCTGATGAATGTTTTTCGTTGTCATTGAAACTTTTTTTTTTTAATAATCCATAAATTCATGAAATGTTGAGGTTTACGAAGAACATTTTTTTTTTCTACACTAAAAATATATTATTGAATGTAATTTTAAGAATAATATGAATTCTTTAAGATTTATTTGTTTCTTAGGTTTTCACGCACATCACTCATTAAATAAAACTAGTTTTTTACGGGTTAATTCACGAAACTTTATTTATTTATTGACGTTTCTAAGGTCAATAAATAAATAAAGGCTACGAAACGTCAATAAATAAATAAAGTTTCGTGCATTAACCCGTAAAAAACTAGTTTTATTCTTTAAGATTTTTTTAATTTTGCAGTCTGCTATCCGAAAAAAAATATATCTTATATAAACATATCCTTAAACGACTATTATTCAAACTTTACGACACATGTTTAACGGGTTCCCGCCATTTTTTTCCACACATTTCATATTAATCTTATACCCAAAAACAATACTGGGAAACGCGAGTGAGTCACGTTCCAATATCACATAAAACTAATTACGTTTTCATATGCCGCCGGTCTATATTTAATTATACCTCAAAATAAACAGAAATCGGCTTACCAGATACGAAGGGAATGTGCACAGAATCTCACGCACAATATTAAAACACCAATAAAATCACAGAGATGAGTTTTCAAACTGTCGCAAGTCACTAGACACGAGCACTTTGTAATAAAAAGTTCGGAGTTACTATACGAAAATACTGAAGTATCACAACACGCAAGGAGCGTCCGCACACGTCCGGCTTTAGTTAACGACTGAAGTCACAAAAGACAATCTGAGCTTTCAGCGGGAATGCGCACGCGCTTCGTACGCACGGTGCTGCGCTAATACTAGCCGTCTCTTTCTCACCTATCGGATAAATAGAGTTTGTTTTAAGTCTGTTTCGCTCGGTCGTAATGTCGCCTCGTGGAAAACGGAGGAAACATTACTGGCTGCGTCCGTTGCATAACTATACAGTGCACTATGATTTATTTGGTCGTTTGATTAATGACATTTCTGTTTTCCCTCCAATTTTATTTACGGCGTAAGCTTTTGACGTTGCGTCTGCGCCGGTAAAATGTAATTAGAGCGTTTTTTACGACAATTTATGCCTAGTTTTCCGTGTAATCAAGCGTGGTTATTATCGTAATAAATTCAGTGCGCGTTTGTTGGCCCGATTTTAGTCTGTAAATATAAATATTAGTGATGTATATTTCTTCAGCGAAATGTTTCGGATGATTCACTTGCATCTTCACACACAGATAACACGGAGATTTTTCCTTGATGTTCGTCTTTTAAAAATCTTATGAAATTTGAATAGATATCGTTGGACCACGTAGAAATAAATATTTCCTGTTCGTACACTAAAGTATGTATGGGTGATTCTCAGTTAAGAGGTAATCGGTTGTATGGAAGCAGTGGCACAGCAAAAAGTATCGATATTTATATAACTATATCACTACTTTTATCAAGACAGATGATTTTAATATGATTTTAAGATGATCAGTCATTTTTTTAATTTATTCTCGTTTTACGAGACACCAGGGGATGACAGGGTAGAGACATGGTCCCTCCCCTGGTGTCTCGTAGAATCACCCGTATGTTTTTTTTTTTTTAAATAAGACAAGTACGACTCGTTCTTGTAAATGAAAGATTCCGTGCCTACAAACAGCAAATATATCATATAATTTGTGTTGAGTTTCATATTATTGCTTAACTTTATTTTTTAATTTCTATTTTGTTGTTATAGCGTTTGGGCGAATGGACAAACACGATGATAAAAAGTGCAAAAATTTGTTCATTCAGAGAAAAAAAATGGGTGCGTGTACTTATGTAGGCGCGTGAGAAGTTATCCTTCTTTGGCATCGTTTAAAATTAGTTTTTAATTGCATGCAAATAATTAATTACAATAAATTAATAAAAAGTCTGGAAAAGGACGAAGTCAATAAAGTTCAGTTTTAATTTGAAAAAATAAATAAATAATCAAAATATTCAATTAAAATCGCTACTGAATATAATTTATTAGAACATATGTGATTTGCACTTGTATGAAACTCAAACACGTATTCCGAATATACAAACTAGAAACATGTGGATAAATATTATAAATATGAATACCTATAACTGTTACTTTACTACAAAAAATAAAGATGTGGTTTTTGGTTCTACTACACCAATGGTCAAGAGATGGCGCTGTAGTCTCCTGAATCGCGCTTTGGTTCCGTTGTTCCAGATTAATAAATACTTTTGATAGGCCTTCACAGTGCTGCCAACCCGAATTTTAGAAAATTAGTAGATTATGTGCCAAATGTTGGTAGAAGTTGGTAGAATGTAAAATGCAAAATTGGTAGATCTACCACCTCAATTTAGAAGATTTTTTAAGATTAAAAATGCATGCAATGCAATGCAGAGCACACTTCAGATCACACCTACATGATTTGCAATAAAAATATCCGTCACCCTTAGTAATTTCTTGAAGCCAACCTGCAATTTCCATGTCTTTCTCCCATAATTTCGAATATTTTTGGTCATACTTTTTTCTAGGTTTTCGTGGCGGAGTTCCTAACCTAGAACTATGTGCATCCCTTTCGCTGCTGTCAGAATCCATTATATAAATAAATGCACGCAACAAAGAACAAACAGCAATCAGCACCGTTAATACGCAGTTAATTAGTTTTTACAATAAAACAGGAGCAAAGATTCAACATTGATTACGCAACAAACCAACCGGGAATAGGCCACAGTAGGAATAGTAAAATATGGGCGCGAAATTGTGCGAACGCCGAACTCATGACGAACTGTTGCTGACGTTTTTTTTTGTGGTTTATGGCCTGGACTCTATGTATGCTTGACGCATCGTTGCGTGGCTCATGCAATACATCGCAACGTCGCTCGTCGATATAAAAATAATTCAAAGTGGAGATGTGTCAAACTAATTAAAAAATAGGTAGTTTTTAGGTCTAGGGTGGTAGATAGGTAGACTGAAGTGAAAATTGGTAGATCTACCAAAAAGTTGGTAGATATGACAGCACTGGGCCTTCACAATGCAGTCGTTAGCGCCCACTAAATAGAGATTCTATTTCTATTTTGTTGGTAGATTTTCTTAATGTCCGGTAAACACAAAAGTAACGCATGAAGTTGGTCGCTAAAGCGACCTAGCGCCCACCGTATCGCCCCCCGTCCGCTGCGGAGGTCTACTTGCGTGCCGTAGACCTCCGCAGCGACGGGGGGCGCATAAGCCGTGCGTTTTATTTTACATTACCGCACGCGTGTGTAATGTGATAGATTATGATATTGTAATTGGTGCAATAAGAGACGCTTTACGAGCAATTGTGTTTCAAAAATATTTTACCAGCACGTGATACGTCATAATATTCTGCGTTACAACTTTGTTATACTTAGTTCAAGCTTCTTTTTTAGGGTTCCGTAGCCAAATGAAAAAAAACGGAACCCTTATGGATTCGTCATGTCTGTCTATCTCTCTGTCCGTCCGTATGTCACAGCCACTTTTTTCCGAAACTATAAGAACTATACTGTTGAAACTTCGATAGTAGATGTATTCTGTGAACCGCATTAAGATTTTCACACAAAAATAAGAAAAAATACAATAAATTTGGGGGGTTCCCCATACTCTAAGTATGAGACTGAAACTCAAAAAATTTTTTTCATCAAACCATACGTGTTCAAAATGATATTGAGGTTTCTAATATCATTTTTTTTCTAAACTGAATAGTTTGCACGGGAGATACTTCCAAAATGGTAAAATGTGTGTCCCCCCTCTCCTATAAATTCTAAAATAAGAGAATGATAAAACTAAAAAAAATATAATTATGATGTACATTACCACGCAAACATCCACCGAAAACAGGTTTGAACGAGATCTAGTAAGTAGTTTTTTTTATTACATCATAGATCGACAACCGCAGTTTAGTTTTCATTTAATTAACTCAAATATAAATTTCATAAACATAAACCTTGTTTCTTAGGTTTTCACGTATATCACTCATTAAATAAAACTAGTTTTTTACGGGTTAATGCACGAAACTTTATTTATTTATTGACGTTTCGTAGCCTTTACAGGCTACATCGTCAGAATCAAATTTCTATTTGCAAATTTTAACATAAGAAGCATGCATGCATAATTTAACATAAGAAGGAGATAGAAAGCCTCTCTTGAGTTTGTTTCGCCGGTTCTTCTCAGAAAGGTCTCCCAATTTGGGAACCGGTGGTAGTTTACGGTAGTTAGGGTCAAATAAATAAACTCAAAATTACAAAAAAATTTAAATAAAATACTTTATTAACTAAATTAAGTAATAAATTCATACATAGACAATAAAACTTTAAAAATCGAACAATGAAATAACCGAACGCTCAATAGAAGTCTTTCGAAGGTTGCTCGACAAAATTAAATAGAAATTTGATTCATGTAAAAAACTAGTTTTATTTAATAAACCTTATGCATAAACCGTGAACCATTATATTATGTTACTTGCTGTTACGGAACCCTTCATGGGCGAGTCCGACACGCATTTGGCCGCTTTATGTTCCTTAAAATTGTTTTTCATTTGTTACAAAATTTAATAGCATTTATCAGTAAGGATGTCCAGCTCCAGATGTTGCATCTACTCCAGATACCCCATACACCCATAACGTTTTCCCATTCAATACATTTCCTATGATATTCCTGGAAGATGGCAGTCTAAGTGCGTTCCGAACGCTTCCGGTTTCCGCGTTGGTAAATTGTTAATGGTCCATAATACACCCGTGCTCAGCAATAATTAATATTTATTCCTAAAACTTCGTTACATGGCAACTACCGATAGATATGGAATCAAATTGAGCAGCTCGATCGTGCAAGTGGTAGAAGTTAAGCAACTTTCGAAATGGTCGGTCATCGGATGGGTGACAATTTATTTTTTTATGATTTGTCCGACAAATGACTCCACCCCACCTGATGTTAAGTGGAGGTGAAGTCCAGACGCGAAGATAGCTGATACAGCAGTTCTACCTGCCACACCAGCCATCCTCACCCTGCCGGCCTGCATGTTGCTTCTTCACGCCTCTTTTAAAGGATCCCAGGTTGTAAGAGGGAGGGAACACGTGAGCAGGCAGAGCATTCCATTTACGGATAGTGCGACAAAGAAATGAGTCACCAAATTTCTTTGTACGCGTTGGAATTGTGGCCACAGTTAGACGGTGACAACGTAGGCCAGCGCGCGTGGTCCTCTGAAGGAAAGGGGAAGGTGGAATAAGAGAGAATAACTCTTCAGAACACTCGCCGTGGTACAGACGATAGAACGCGCTTAGTGACGCCATGTCACGTAATTGAAGAGGCTCGAGGTGTTTAGTCACCTCCTCATCGCCTATGATGCGTATTGCGCGCCGCTGTATTATTATGTCGAGCTCTTCCGTGAAGAAGGCACCATAAGCTATTGTCCCCGGTCACCGTAAATAGCCTTCAGTTTTCTATGTTAAAAATTATCAATGAATGAAATTATACTTTATTTAAATTGATTAATCGAAAACTCTTTTGAATCGTGAAAATGGCGAATATTCGCAATAGTGCAACAACGTGGCCGTAGCTTAACAGATATAAGAAAATTGACAAAAATTGGAATTGATGAAATCATAACATAACAGCCTTTTAATTTAACATCCGGGACCCCAAACACTGCAAAAACTTTGTAGATAATGTTAAGAAGAAAGAAGTAAAGATTTTATTATTATTATTTTGTTATTATAACCGAGATTGCATGTTGCAGAATTAAGGTAT